TAATATAATCCTAATTACTATTTCAGTCTTTCTATCTTTCTAATTACTTCTCTCTCTGTTTTTCTCTCTCTCTATTTTCTCTTCACAAAAAAATAAAAATAAAAAATAAAAGAAGGCCCGGCTACAAAAGCAGCAACCACGGATCACCATCTAAGAACAAGACTAGGCAGACTGCAGTTGTAAAAGACACGGAAGTGGCGAAGGAAAAAAGGGAGGAGGAAGCGCCACGCCAGGTGGCAGAAAAGGGGCTGTAGAAGCAGTGTGTTGTAGAGGCTAAAGAACGCTCACAGACTGCCGAAATCTTCACTGTTCCTGGCCAACGTCTGCTGTCTTGACAAGTTGGACCTTCTGCGTATGATGAGATGAGGAACTGCGCTGTACTTCGTCTCAAGGAAACCTGGCTTATTCACATCATGCCGGACTCAGACTTCCTGATCGACGGCCAGACACTTTTTTGGGTGGACCGCAAACAGCTATCAGGAAAAACGCGTGGAGGCGGTTTATGTATGTATATAAACAACAGTTGGTGCACAAACAGCATGCTGATCAATAGCCACTGTTCCGAGGATTTAGAATACATGACTGTGAACTGTCAGCCACACTATTTACCCCGCGGGTTTATGTCACTGTTTACATAGCACCGGATAATAATGCTAACCATGCACTGAAGGAGCTGCATAACATGAGCTCGCTCCAGAATAAGCATCCGGATGCGCTTTACATGGTGGCAGGAGATTTCAACCATATACAGTACATCTGACAGACACTTTGCCAAGGCTATTTCAGCATGTCAACATTCCAACATGGGAGAATAACACATTGGACCATGTTTACACCAACATAAAAGATGCATACAAGGCCATACCCTTCCCCCACCTTGGCTTTTCCGACCACATTTCCATCATACTGGCACCTGCATACCATCCCCCAATGAGACGCTCTAAACCCACACAGAAAACCATCACTGTGTGGCCCAGTGACTCTAATCGTGTTTCCATTCAGTTGTAGAGTGAATTTTTATCGAACTTTTCAAAATTTGCAAAAAATTAATTAAATTAAAATTCGAATCTACGACTCTGTGCTGCAGGACTGCTTTAAATGTACAGACTAGCAGGTCTTCAGGGATGCTGCTGTGCATGAGGGAGAGCTGGATCTGGAGGATAATACATCTGCTGTCCTCGGATACATGAGTAAATATGTTGAGGATGTTACCACCACCAGAACTGTGATATGTTACCCCAACCAGAAACCATGGCTGAACGCAGAGGTCCAAACTCTGCTGAAAGTCAGGGATGCTGCCTTCAGGTCTGGCGACTCATAAGAACTCAGAAGAGCCAGGAAGGAGCTGACAAGGGGAGTTAAAAGGGCCAAGGCAGCATATGCCCAGAGGATTCAGGGCTACTTTTCCTCCAAGGATCCATGGAGCACATGGAACGGCATCAGATGCATCACAGACTATAACACCAGAGATGCACAATGCCCGAGAGACCCCCATCTGCCTGAAGCTCTAAACAGGTTCTATGCCCACTTTGAGGAGCCCAACACCCCATCCAGCACCAGACTCACCCCCACATCTGATGAAGAGGCATTCAGCATGACCCCTGCAGAAGTAA